TAAGTGAACAATATATAAGATTAGAGCTAAATTTGCCCTTATGTTACAAAGAGTTTCATTTGAATCAGATGGCCGCATTTCATATATTTTCAATGAGTATCAATATGAAATTTGAGTACCTCATATTAAATTCAGATATTCTCTTAATTTATAATATATACTTATTGCAATAATTTTCTTTCAGTTCGAGCTTACATAAAATACCCCATTTTACTTAATTTTACTTTTATGGGCATCAAATAGAAAACTCAAGTTAAATTCAAGTATCATCCCTGCCCAAAAGTATGCCGCGAAATCTGGAAATCACATTAAAAATGGTTGGACTTTAAAACATGGCAGACCAAACAAAATTTGCATGCCACACCCTCGAAAAAAAAAAACCCACTAAACAACCCTCGCTGAAGCTCAACAACTTTTGTGCTTCGAAATCAAAGCAACAGGAGACAAAACAAATCGTAAAGAAAATCCCAACCCCCTGGAGAAGAAAATGTTTGAAATCGAAACCATTTTGTAGTCGAGCCTTTACGCTTTGACATGTTTACACATTTAATTAACTAACACGCGCCCCAAAAACTTCCGATTCGTGGACTTCCCCGGCCTGGGAGACTAAACGAAACAGCCAAAGAAAAATGAGGACTTTTCCCTTATTTTTCTCGCCTTTTTTTTGACAATTTGAAACCATTTCAAGTGGTTTAATCATTTAACGCACATCATATAAATCGCATCAAGTGATTTTTATTTACTCGTACAACAAAAGGAATGTCCCGGGTAAAAAGGGCGCAAATCCTTTGAAATTTTAGCACTACTAAAGCAAAAGGAATTTCTCACTTTCAACAATGCGTCAAAACGGATATAAATAGCAAGAAATTTCGCAGATCTAATGACATTAATCATTTTTAGTTGTCCACAAATTAGAAGCAATTGGCCGGCATTGTACGGCTTAACTATAAAAGTGAAATGTTTCGGACTCAGTTATATGTTTTCAGCATATTTTTCTTTTTATTGTGAGTTTATTCTTGGCTTCCTATTCTATAATTTAATTTTAAATGTTAATAATTTGTTTTATAAATTGTATGAGTTAATGTAAAACTTAATTTTATCCTGGGGTTTGTTTTTTCATTTTTATGGGGTTTTTTAAATACTCTATATATGTATATATGTGTATTCTATATTTAAATTATCTTTAAATTATTACCCTCATTATCGACTTAGCAGTCACGCAAAAATTGCTTAGTGCTACGGAAAAAAATATTTGAGTTGCCCGCCAAAGAAAATGTCTGCTACACTATTTTTACAGATATGGCAACCCCAGATCCCAAATGTGATTGCGAGTGGCAACTGTGAAGCAAAATACCAAATTTAAAAACAAATGATTCATTTCGTTGTTAATACAAAGCGAAATACATAGTTTTTTATTTAAATGTTAAATACATATTAGCTTGTAGTGTATATCATGTGAATTTTATTCATATAAAGGCGGCCAGATGCCGCAAAATGGAAACGTTATGGATGGTGTGTGTGTTTCTTTCTCATATACGTGTGTGTGCGTAGGTATATGCGAGTGTGAGTGTGTGTTAAATGAAAATGCAAATAAGTAGAGCTTGCAGCCGGGATGAGAGCGCACAAATACACAGAACGATAAGAGTTGCCGGCAAAGCCAAACTGCTTAGCTCATCGTGTTGATCTGCAAAAAAAAATATAAATGAATAACAGACACAAATACTTAATAAAGAGATGCAACTCACAATATCATCAATCTTCAGTATGGAGCGTATGGTCTCGGTGGCCAGTGTAATGGCCGATGTGCTCACTAGAAGCGGCTGCACCACATTCTCTGCCAAAATGTCGGTAATGGCGCCCTTGCGCACATTGATGCCGGCTGTCTTTTCGCCCTGAGCATGACGATTGCGCAGCTCCGTCACCGTAGCAATTGGATTCAAGCCGGCATTCTCGGCCAAAGTTGATGGAATCACCTCTAGGGCATCCGCAAATGCACGATAGCAATATGCATCTACACCCTCGACGGTTTGCGCCAGTGCAGCCAGCTGCAATGCCATCTCAATCTCTGGTGCGCCGCCGCCTACAATTTGAGCACGCTTCTTCACCAAACAACGCACCACACACAGAGCATCGTGCAACGAGCGTGCAGCCTCCTCCAGAACGAGCTTATTGGAGCCACGGCAGATAATGGAAACGGTGCGTCCTTGATTTTGAATGCCAGTGATCTTGACGAACTTGTTGGTGCCACTGGCCACCTCCTCGACGAGATCTGCGCTCGACAAATTCTCAGCTGTGAAATGATCCAGCGAGGCAATTGGACGACAATGCAATGATTTGCACACAAACTCAATGTCCTCGCGTTCCACGTCCTTGACAACCAAACACTTGATCTTGTCAAGGAAATGCTGAGCCAGATCCGAGACGGCATCACTATAGATACGTAAAATTAAGTTAAATATTGTATTCCACAACTAACATCAAACTCAAATAACCCACCGCAAAATGGACTTCTGTACAAGGAGGACATTGCAGCCCGCCTTCTTGATCTGCTTCACGATATTCAAAATATAGGAGCGCTCCTCCTTGAGTACACGATCCATTGCTGCATAATCGCTAACAATCACATTGTGATCCATGTCGGTTTTTGGTGCCGAAATACAGAATTGAATGAGACCAATCTTTGCTTTCTCAATACGTTTGGGTGCATTGGTGCCGGCCGAGCGGCTGGTGAAGACCAAGCCCTGGACCAGTTCCGTATCTTCAACGGTGCCGCCCAAGCTCTGAATAACCTTAATGTTCTTTAGATCCACCGATGCCTCTTTGCCTGGTTCGGTGACCTTTAGCACTGCGTCCACAGCAATGGGAGCGAGCAGGCTGCTCTGCTGGGAGACAACTTTGGAGTTGAGCGATGTGGAAGCACTCTTGATCAAAGTATCGCGGTCCTTGAGTTCAATAGGAGTCGACATTTGAGTGAGAATCTCCACAGCTTTGTTCGAGCAGCGTTGGAACGAATCCGAAATGGCAGTGGGATGCAAACCCTTCTGCAGCAGTTTCTCGCATGCCTCCAACAAGGCACCGGCAATGACCACAACGGAAGTGGTGCCATCGCCAGCCTCCACATCCTGGGCACGGGACAGCTCAACCAACATTTTGGCAGCGGGATGCAGGACATTCATCTGCTTCAAAATGGTCGCACCATCATTGGTAATGGATACTTCTCCATTGCCAGCCTGGATCATTTTGTCCATGCCGCGAGGACCCAAGCTGGTACGAATGGCATCGGAGACAGCTGCAAAAAGAATCGATTAGTAAGAATCCCATACCGAAACACATGACTCATGGACTGTCATCACTAAGAAGCTTCCAGACGGCAGCCGGCAACTGCTTTTTATTTATGCATTTAAATACAATATCTTACCCTACCAACAACAAACATGCAACATAATTGACAATAAGTACCATAAATAACCTTTCTACATGCATTTTATGTTACAACTTAGCATATTTCTACAATAACCACATATATTCTTACCCTTTGCCGCCTGTATATTCGACAGCCTCACATCGGTTGGCTTTGACTTGTCTTTAAAGGTCTTTGATTTCGGCGGAACACCAACTGTTCTGGATTTCGGCGCCATTGTTGTATGATTGATTTAATTATAAGCAATTTATAATTTTTTAACACAATTTTCAATGCGATTAACACAGATTAAAAAATGTCTACAACTATGATTTTTCGCTGCCCCGTGACAGATAGTGACGGAAAAAACTTCAGCAATGCTATCGATTTATTCTCGATAGCTTTTTTTGGTATTATTTAGCATCTTTTTATATGCGTCCCTTATTGCATAGCAATTTGAATTTTAAATTAAACCGCGATTTTATTTATATATTGCAATTATTCGGATTTCATAGAATCAATTGTATTTAGCTGTAGGCGGCACTTCATCGGGCCCAATCTCTGTCTTTTCCGGCATACCAACATTCAATGTCTTATCCGAATTTATTTGCGCAGTTATCTCTGTAAAGAGTTTATCCCATTCCCAAATTTCGTCCGGTTCATCCAAGCTTTCCTGGACCTGTAAGCAACGTGTCAATATGGTCAAATCCACGTCTTCTATTGCTGAAAAGGCATTTTGTGAGAGCAGATCGGAGCTTAGCTCTTTAAATGCAACATCGCGACTAATAGCGACGCTTCTGTAAGTTAAGTAAATTATTATTATATCAAGTCTATATAAAAAGTATCTTACGACGCAGGCTCAACAATTTCATTAAGCAATATTTCATCTCTGACATCATCTAAATCCGGTATAATAGGTATATCATCCGTTGGTATTGAACTTGTAGCGGATTTGATCACTTGAAAGCGTTCGCTATAAATTTGATATTAATTATGTGAGCTAATATAAAAGCTGTAGCTGCTTACTCATCAAATGAATTCTTCTTGGATCTATAAAAAATAAATTCGTATTAGATAAAATTAGAATTTAAAACCTTTTACTTACTTAAGTCCCTTTAAGCCAGAATCTGCCCAGCCACCAGAGACGCGCCTGATGGGCGGTCGACTTGAATCAAATTCATTATTATATGTTGTAGGTGTTGTAGATGTGGGACTGCTACTATCATTTTGTATGTCCAACGTAATATCTATGGATATATCTTTATTCAATTTGTGTGTCGACGCAGCACTCGATGAAGATCCTGCTTGATTTTCCTCTTTCAAGACGTCGCGACTCTTTGAGCGACGACCCTTGCGTGCAGTGGTCTATAAATATACACAATTATATAAATTATAGTTTTACTTAATTCAATTTAACCTTTCTTATAGTCATTTTCAGTTCTTCAGCCCAATCCATTGCACAAATTATTTATTGTTTATATTTTTTCGCGTTGCCTAGGCAACAAGTTGTATTCACAGTGCTGTAAAGTAGCCAACAGATAGTATCGCCAAATATCGATATTATTCGATAAAAAACTGTTTTGGTTTTTCTTAAACAGCCAAGTTCACGTCAGAAGTGTATGGGAAGGCTCTAAGGCCTGTTTAAAATAGTAAATAAATAAGAAAACTGCCAAAATGCTGACGGACGACGATGATTTCTTCTACGAGGATAAAATGTAAGTATAGGAATGCATGCATATACGCTTGCATATGTAAATACAATTCATGGGTTAAGCGTGAAACAGAAAAGCTTTGCCATTTGTCTGAATTAAAAAAATCAATAATTGGGCCAACATATTGTTTATGATAACTCAAATATAAACATAAATAATGTAATACAAAATTTAATTAGAAAGCAAACAAGCGAGACTACGCCAGTGCTAATACAATTAAATGAGGATTTCATGGCCGACTTTGAGGCGTAAGTATCGGGTGGAATAGGAATCAATAGCTCTGCGTCTATTTCTCTCTGTATGTACATATACATAAATATATCTGATTCCTAAAAGTTCGAAACAAAAATTGGAGGATTTAAAAGTCACTGCGGCCACCGATACAGAGACTGCCGTGTTTTGCACTGGCCTCGAGCCAACACCAGATCGATATGGACTCTATAGTAAACAAAAATACGAGCTAGATCGCTTGTAAGTCAAAATTTCTTGACTCAGTAAACCGTTAGAAACGTTATGAATTGTTATATAAAGCATATACTTCATGTAGTGTCTCAAAAGCTAACCCAAACCTAGACGGAGACAAAGCGTATTTATTGTATGCCTCCTTCTTTATTTTGTGAGCTCCTTGAGGCTAAATTTATTTATTTTTTAATAGCGTAAACATAAGAATATATGTGTGTAGTTCATTTAAAAATAACATCATTATGTTTTACTTGGATCCAAAAAATATAACTGCTAGAACGTCATTTTTTAGAGATATATCCTATATTATGAGAATATAGAACCTAATGGAATATTAGATATATTCCGATTTATTACGATAACTACTAGAAGATTGACATAAAGACATATGTACATATTTTTATAGTCAAAATATATTGGACAACGAATAAAAAAAATAAAAAAAAATATAATATATTTTAAAGTTTTTAGTACGATACTATAAAGGGTTATATACCTCTGTATCTTAAAATAAATTTTATATTATACAAAAATCAAATATAAATAGTTAAAGGTACATTGTTTCAGATAGAAATTTATTTGGAACCCATTTATAACAACGCTAAAGCTATTATTAAATTATTTTTAATTTTAATCATTCTAAAATTCAAATTACAGAAAGCGTTTATTTTTAAGTTTATTAACAGCTCTTATGGCTAATTAGAGAATTGCACAAATCGATGTGAGTAACGCACGCTTATTGCTCTAACAAAAAGCTTCCACATAGGTCTAGACTATATGAATATATATATGCCAATAACTCCAGATAAATCGAACTTCCATTCAAACATTTGCAGGGGCATGACTGTGAGCACGAATGCAGTTGTGATTACGAAGGATCAGAGCAATCTAATCGGCATTAGCATTGGAGGCGGTGCGCCAATGTGTCCGTGTCTCTATATAGTGCAGGTAAATGGCACAAAAAATAATAATAATACTCTAATTTTCACCAACAAAAATCCCTAGTTAATCGAATATGAAATTACATTTTCAAAGAAATTTATTTATTTTGCACAAAAATGTAATGTAAATGTAAAAAAAAATCAGTTGAAATTTTTTTTCAGATAATTGCTGTAGATCGCTTCCAGGGATTCGGTGTAGCCTTGAAATTGGTTAATTTGCGGGCCTGGACATATTCGTCGTGACAGCGTTGCGCCCACTCGATCGCCTTTCGTTGCCAGCGTGCCTCCTGCTCCCGCCGGTTCCACAAATCGAACTGTTTGCGCAGCTTGCCCCGTTCCACCGACTTCAGATGGAACGGTTCAGTCTTCACAATGCTCGATAAGATGCGCGGCACGAACGGAGGCTGTCGCCAGCTCTCCGAGGCTTGGCTCAACTGCGGTCGCAGCGTCACCTCCTTCATAATCTGTTGTTCCAGATTCGCCCGTTCCGTCTGCCAACGTTTGGCCGCTTCCATAGATTTCATTAGCGTGTGTGGCGTTTGCGGTTTGGTCAGGTTGTACAAGCATTTCAGTTGACGCGTTCGATTTCGTATTTCCCAGCGTTTGTGCATCAACTTGAAATTGGGGACCGCATGGCTATGGAACTGGCATTGCCGGCTTTGCTCCTGCTGCAATTGACGCAGCTCCTGCTGCCGATTGCGGTCGTACACACGCTGTATGCTGCACACCTTTGGCGAGCCGCGCAGCGTCTTCTTTTTAATCCTTTTCGAAGTCATCCTCATCTTGTCCAATCCCGCCTGCTGACGCAACAACTTGTTCGAATTATTCTCCAATACTATGGATTGCAAGCGCGCGTCCAACTGTTGCACGCGGTTCGCCAGTTTCGATTTCGGCCTCTCCTGCCGCGAGTCAACCTCTCTGTCTCTATACCAATGGGAAAACGTCATGGTCTCTGGGTATCGTTTCGACAGGTTTTCGTCTCGAATTTCAAAAAAACGCAATTTCGCTAAACTGAATTTTCACTAAACTCCTTTACATTACATTTTAATTTGATTCACACAATAATTTATTTATATATTTATAATTTTTTTTTAACCGATTTGCTACAAAATTAAAATATTGAAAATGATTTGCAGATCAAAGCAAATCTGTCAAAAAAGTTTTCCAAAAATAAAGCTAGCTTGTTTTAAGATTTTGAACATGTTTATCTTTAGCTAAGTGAAGGACATAATTTTGGTTTATATATTAAGATATAGCTCAATTTATTTTTAATAATTATTATATAGACCAAAGTCTATTTTAGGGTATATATTACATGTATAGTATTTATCGATATTAATGTTATTAATTTATAATTTTCTCCTCCATTCCAGGTCTTTGATGGCACTCCCGCTGCCCGAGAGGGCTCCCTGCAATCAGGCGATGAATTGCTCGCCGTCAATTCGGTGAGCGTTAAGGGCAAAACCAAGGTGGAGGTGGCGAAGATGATTCAAACGGCTACAGATGAGGTGACCGTGCACTACAACAAACTACATGCAGATCCCGAACAGGGCAAAACGTTGGACATAATCCTGAAGAAACTGAAGCATCGCATTGTGGACAATTTGTCGAGCAATACGGCTGACACGCTGGGTCTATCGAGGGCTATACTATGCAATGATTCGCTGGTCAAGCGACTGGAAGAGCTGGAGGGCACAGAGCTGATGTACAAAGGATTGGTGGAGCATGCGCGGCGCATGCTGAAGGCCTATTACGATCTATTGCAGACATACAAAAGCTTTGGCGATTGCTTCACCCAGATCTCGGCACATGAGCCGCAACAGCGAGCCAGTGAAGCATTTCGTACTTTTGGTGAATTTCATCGTTCGCTGGAAAAGGACGGATTGGCTATCATCAAGCAAATTAAACCCGTGCTCGCAGATCTGGGCACGTATCTGAATAAGGCCATACCCGACACAAAATTAACCGTGCGACGTTATGCGGATGCGAAGTTCACCTATCTCTCCTATTGCCTGAAGGTCAAAGAGATGGACGATGAAGAGCATGGCTTTGCGGCGTTGCAGGAGCCGCTCTATCGCGTCGAGACGGGCAACTATGAATATCGTTTGATTCTGCGCTGTCGTCAGGATGCGCGCAGCAAGTTTGCCAAGCTACGCACAGATGTGCTCGAGAAAATGGAGCTGCTAGAGTGCAAACATGCAATGGATTTGAATAAGCAGCTGCGCAGCCTGCTCGATAGTTTGGCAGAGCTGCACAGAAGCTTGGTGGCACGTCTAGACTCTCTACCTCCTCTCTTCCCTATTGAAGTGGACTTTAAGGAAACGGATTTTCAATACAAATCGAGTACGCTCAAGCCCCAGGAGCTGGATGATGATGAAATTGAGGCGAATTCCACATCACGTTCCCATAAGGTAACATACGGCAGGGAAGCAGTCGAGCAGCCGGCGCCCATTATCAATGTGGAACTAAAGGAACCCACAGCTGCGTCCAATGCCAACGACAACGAATCCCTGCTCAAGGAGCTGGGTTTGCACGATGTGGATTTGCTTTCTAATCCGCACACTATTAGCAATCAAACGGATTCCATTTCGGCACAGAATGATGGTTACGATTTTGATTTATTTTTGAATCAAGCAAATGCTACGACCAGCCTCGAACGCGATCTGATGTCAGCCAATGCCAGCGAAACTGATTTGCTGCTGCAATAGACTTTTGTGTACAAAGAGAATTTCCTTCATTAGAATCGAGCTAATTTTCTTACTGTTTGTTTTACTATTTTCCTGTATATATGTTTAAGTGTATGTGAAATTAGATATATTGATCAGAAAATGAATAATAAAACTAGAAAATACATAACTATCTTTAGGTATCGATACCATAATTCAAAAGCTTTTTACCGTTACATACATAGCCATTAACAGTGCGCACTGACACAGCTGCTAATTAAAAACTAAATCTTATATGCATATGTATTCACCGCACCAGCAACGTGTGCAAAATATACATAAAAAACAATGCCACGGAGTTTATATAACTGGTCATAAATTTCAAAATTAAAGTTTACGCCCGACAAATTCACGAGCTGCGCGCTCTGCTCAGTGATTGTCCTTGTCCCACTTTTGCCGTTCGTTGCGCACGCAAGCAGCTGATTGGCAATGCAACAGGTAAACAATATATCTAGATAAGCTGAGAATATTGAGCTACTTGCTCATCCTACATAACCATATGCAATACATATTCTAAACAAAAACCAAGACACTTCTTGGACTATATTTCAAGTTTAAATTCCAATTTACACGCTGCGCACTCTGCTTAAATTTGTAACCATTCACATTAATTGCCAGTCACTGCGAGTGCCGACACAATCAGCTGTTTGGCAAAATGTAAACAAAACGTGCTCCGTTTGCCGACATGCCGCCAAAGTCGAGTAATAAAAAGAACCAAGCTACTTGGTTTCACTGTGAGAAATGTAATGTGCACATAACAAGCAAATCACGGGACACACACGAACGAGTATGTTCTCTAGCGGAAGACGTAAGTGGCGCAGCTGTGGAGACAGAATTTGTGCGCGATGGAACCCTTTATACGAGCAGTGTGCAACAGAAAAATTTTGAAGTGGAATCTTTGAAAGATCTACCGCCGAAATATGCCAATACCCTTCTATTTATGTCAGAGGGTGCCATACAGCTTGCCCAGTTTCATATTGGGCAACAGGTGGTTATAGAACCTGCATTGGAAGAAGCTAAAAATCCTGCGCTGGTGCGCATTCTTTGGCCCATTTCGGAGCAGTTTCTTACGACTGTTTTCGCCACAGCAGAAGGTAGAGTGGAGATCTTGACTAAAGGAAAATTAATAATGAATGATCTTCTATTACAGATTATAGACAAAATTGGTCGGCATTCCAAGGCAAATTACTACGCATTTCAGCTCTGAATCACGGTCAACTTTATGCCGCTGCCAGTGTGTCTCTAAGGCATTCAAATTCCAGCGAATCCGAACTGGAGTCAATGCATCTGCCAGATGTGGCGGCAGTACTCAAGCGCAACACTGTGAATCAAATATACAGGGAGGGCAGCGAACTACATTTAAATTTCTTCAACAAACCCTTGACTTTTCGATTGGAAAGCTGGCAAGGAGTGGAGCAAGATGCTCTAGAGGATGCACTGGCCAATCTAAGCTTGGCCAACACACAACAATTTGTGCAAATAACAAATGCGACACGGCTGGAGATATTACTGAATGAGGAAAAAGTCGAACAGCAGACGCTCGAACTGGATCAAGAATTAAGTAAAAGAAAGATTGGCGGACTGGAAAAGCAAATTCAATTGGTGGAAGAAAGCATGGACTTTGCACTAGGCTACAAGCCAATGCCAAAAGGTAAGTGAATATATATTTAGCTATATTTTATTGAAGAGTATTTTTTTTTGTAGGTATCAAAATATCTCGTGGTTTGCTGCTCTATGGCGCCAGCGGCTGTGGCAAGTCCCTGATCTGTGAGGCCATGTGTTCGTCGGCTCAGAGAAGCAACAAAAATGTCCAAATCATTAATATTAACAGCGGCGAGGTGTTCAGCAAATTTCTAGGAGAAACAGAACAAAAGCTGGCAGCATATTTTGACCGCGCCTACTCGCATTATCCACACCCCTCGCTGATTATCCTGGAGGATATTCACACACTCTGCCCTAAACAGGATTCCAATGATTTGGTCAAGCGCGCCTCGCTGGCATTGCTCTCCCAACTCGATCAGCTTAGCAGCGGCTGTCGGGTGGAGACGAGTCGCACATTCTTGCTGGCCACGAGCTCGCAAATCGATGCACTGCATCCGAGCATTAGGCGTGCGGGTCGTTTGGATTGTGAATTGGAGCTGGGACCACCTAATCCAACTGCTCGCAAGGAGATTCTGCAATGTCAGCTGCAGCAATTGGAGCATAATATAAAAGATGCCGAATTGGAGCACATTGCGAGCATCACACATGGCTATGTGGGCGCCGATTTGGTTAATCTCGTATATACAGCCACGCTAGCTACACTGAAGGAGGAGCCTCGCCCTCTAGAGCTACGGGACTTGCAAGCAGCACTCACACAAGTCAAGCCCTCAGCTATGCGCGAGGTGCTCATTGAGAGTCCAAATGTACTTTGGTCAGATATCGGGGGCCAGGCTGCACTGCGTCTAACTCTTCAACAGGCCATCGAGTGGCCGCTGCTGCATGCCGATAAATTTCAGCGCCTGGGTATTAAGCCACCGCGTGGTGTTCTCATGTTTGGTCCGCCTGGATGCTCGAAGACAATGATAGCCAAGGCGCTGGCCACGGAAAGTAAACTCAACTTCCTATCCATTAAAGGCCCGGAGCTCTTCTCGATGTGGGTGGGCGAGTCGGAGCGTGCGGTGCGCGAGGTCTTTCGCAAAGCTCGCCAAGTGGCGCCGGCGATTGTTTTCTTCGACGAAATCGATGCGATTGGCGGAGAGCGATCCGAGGGTTCTGCTGGTGGCTCGTCGGTCAAGGAACGCGTGCTTACCCAGCTGCTGACCGAACTGGATGGCGTGGACGCTTTGCACAATGTCACCATTGTAGCGGCCACCAATCGCCCAGATATGATAGATAAGGCATTGCTCCGGCCCGGCCGCATAGATCGAGTCTGCTACGTGGGCTTGCCAGAGGCGGCGGCACGTCGCGAAATCCTCCTCATCAAGTTGCGTGCCATGCCATTGGCTGAGGATGTGATTGTCGATCAGCTGGTAGAACTCACCGAAGGCTATTCGGGTGCAGAGATTCAAGCTGTTTGCCATGAGGCAGCGCTCAGCGCTCTGGAGCAGAGCTTCGAGGCAGAACTCGTGCATTGGCGACACTTCGAATCGGCGCTGGCAACAGTGAAGCCACGCACAAGCCCCGAGCTGTTGCGTCTCTACCAGGAATACATGAAAAAGTAGATAATAAAGTTCTCCTTTTGATGTTCTCAAAAACTATTTCTGTTTAATTTCAATTTTATTTGCTGTAGAAAGGCTTGAAAACAATTAAAATTAATTGGAAATTGATTTATAAAGTATTCGCCGCATTTCTGTAAGCCTATATACATATGTGTAATATATATTCTATATATATAGTACGATAAGTATAATTTTTTCGACTACCCTTATATACTTTAAATATTTACTTTTTTTTACCTATTTCATATTCATATATAGATAATAATTTGTTACCTAATTTTCATTTTTTAATTCGTTGCCCAAACCTTTTTTTAAATTCGTATATAAGGGGATTTTTCTATATTTTAATTCAATTCTAATTTAATTTATTCGAACATACATATATTTGCTTTTGTGTCTCATTCGCATATTGTTTTATTGACTAAATTATTTTGGGATTTTTTTTTCTTTTTCTTTTTTGGAATCACTTTTTTAGCACTTCATCACATAACATCGTAAGCTATCATAAATTCGTAAAAACCTAAACGATATAGATTAATCAAGGCAAGCCACTATATAGAGTTATATATGTATGAATATTAACTGTCTGTGATAAGATTCAGTTTTATCAGTCTGCCAAATCTAAGAAAAAATAAATAAGAGGGAGGAAAGTTGGAGAACTGCATAGTTGACTATTCGCTACCCTGTAAAAAGTGCAATAATTGAGAATAGAAAAAAGCGTCTCGAATTGTATGAAACTAATGTTCATATGGAATGACGTTATAGAAACTATATATGTATATTTAACAATATAAATGATTTCACTGGCTTGTGGATTTAATTAATAATATGCGAAGCTACAAAAGTATATGGAATATAAATTTCGGTCAGAATTTACGAATTGGCAGACAAATATAATGATATAATCGAATACAGTTCTAGATATCAAGTCGCGTCAATAACCTTGTTTTAAAGTGTTACAAGTTCAATGACAAGCTTGTTATACCCATAAATAAAATAAAACCGATTTGATTGCCCAATTGAAAAAGCTCTACAATGCTAATAGTAAATTTAACATATTCTGCATATATGCTAAAAAATATCCTGTAAATTCAATATATAATTAATACAATTTTATTTTTAAATTTTTTATAAATTTATATATGCAAATATTTTTATGATATTTATATATATATTTTTTTTTTAATTTTATAACAGTTTTTATTTGTTTATTATTTTTTATAATTTGAAAATACCGCTTTAAAATATTTCACAACATATACAAAATATGTGACAAAATTTTTTAATGCTTAAAAATAACATTTTTTAATATATATAAATAGATTTTTTAAAATATATTTTTATAAATAAAACAAAATAAATACGTATTCGAACTAAATTAGATCGCTTAATTGTAAGCTAACATTTTTTTGAAGTATTTTAAAGTTCAGGGTATTACGTCGTCAATATATATATAAGTACATCTATGTATGTATGTATCTAGTACATAGGTATATTGCTTGTTTTAAATTGTTAAATATTTTATGCTTCGGCTGGCAATTTGAAACGTTTTTTGGAAGAAAGCGATAGGTCGCTTTTGCTTTCAGCTGACCGTCAGCGAATCGTCGCGAGTCGCGTTGCGCCTCTGATCGGATCGGAACAGTTGTTGTCGAGCAGCCGTTGCGGTTACGACACCCAATCAAGTAGCCGCAATATATTTACATTAACGAGCGTGAGACCTTATCGGCTGCTTCTCCAGTTGAGATGCAGAGCTGGCTAAAAATTTCTTTGCTCTTGTGTCTGTTCGGGTTCTTTCGCGAGCTGAGACCCTCAGAACCCTTTGTTACCGAGTATTTGGCTGGCGATTGGGGCAATGTGACAACAGAGCAAATCTATCAGGATGTTTATCCCTTTGGCACCTATGCCGTGCTCGCCCAATTGGTGATCGTGTTTCTCATTACGGATCTGCTGCGCTACAAGCCGATTATTGTGCTCTCCTCGATAGCGGGCATCATTTTGTTCTCATTTCTGCTGTGGACAGACACCATCTTTGAGCTGCAGTTGGCACAGCTTTTCTATGGCTTCTTCACCGCCGCTGAGGTGGCCTATTACACATACATGTATGCGAAAGTGGATCGGGAACGTTATCAAGTGGTCACCGGACATACACGAGCCGCGATTCTGGCTGGCAAATTTCTCGGTGGCGTGATTGCCCAGCTGCTCGTCTCCACGGACAGTTTAAGTTTTCGTGGCCTACATTTCATTTCACTGAGCACGCAGGTAATATCGCTGGTCATCTCAGTTCTGCTGCCAAGTGTGCCGCGAAGTCTCTACTTTTACTCCACTAAAACGCATCATTCAGAGGCAAAGGCTGATGTATTAGTTACTACAGATGAAGTTGCTCCAAAGTTCTCGTTGAGCAATGCTGGTCGCCTGCTTTGGTATCATCTGGTTTCTTCGTATACGAATCCTGTGGTGCTTCTGTGGAGCATCTGGTGGGCTCTGGCCATTTGTGGACAAATACAGGTCATTTCCTACATACAATTTCTGTGGAAGGAGCTGGCGCCCGAAAAGCAGAGTAATTATAATGGCGGAGTCGAAGCAGTGGCCACCCTGCTGGGCGCCATCGGAGCCATTCTTGCTGGCATGTTGAACAGCAATAGCAAACGCAGCCTCTACATGCTGATTAATTCCATTTGTGTCGCTGTTCTGGGCGGACTTTTACTGCTAGCGGCGTGTGGCAATAGCGTCTGGCTCGCCTACGTGAGCTACGTGATCTTCTGTGCCGTATTCTTCTTCATCATCACAGTGGCCGCTGCCATAGTGGCCGAGAACCTGGTGGACGACAGCTTCGGCCTGATCTTTGGCATCAATATGCTGGTGGCACTAGTGCTGCAAACCATTTTAACCATTGTCGTATTAACGGGTAAGTAATAAATTTAAAGGAAATGCCAATGAAATTTAATAACTAATACTTTTCATTATCTTTTCCAGACACTGGATTTGGTCTGCCTCCAAAAACGCAGTATATTGTGTATGGCGGCTATTTCATTGTCTTGGGCGCAGTTTATTTGCTGCTGCAGCTGTTACTTAAGATATTTGCGAAAAAATCTCCTGCAATAAATGCGTCTTGAATATCCATCCATAATATACATACATATGTACATATTTAGAATTTCTTGTTTACTTTTCATACCGAACATTTGTTTTAAGCAAACGAGAACTTAACATGGCATGGTTACATTACTGTTATTAACAGCAATTAACTATTTAATAAAATTAAGTGTTTCCGAAGTATTATAGAAATCTTTCCAGAATAAACTTGCTGAATAATAAGTATAATAATGTTACTTAATAATCATGTAAAATATGACGACTTTCATAAAGTGTACCTGAGAACGGTAACAAACACAGCACAACAGCGATCAGCTGTTTTTCTTTACATACGCAATCTTTTGCTGTTGCAGTCAAAATCGATATGCTACTGCAGCCCTGGTACAGACGCAATCGATGCTGTAATCGTAAAAACCAAAACAAAGTCGAACGCCTTTCGGTCTACGCGATTGCGCTATATTTGCATGGCAGCTAAGAATACAAGTGCGTTTGTTTTATTGAGTATAAAGAGAGTTGTTTATGTTAAGTAGCACATATATACATTTATATATGAGTGTGTGTCTAAAGTGCAGGTCGCTAGGGCGAATGTGACTCACTCAAAAACAACTTGCAGCTGATTACGGTTGAATATCGTGTGTTTATCTGTGCGGGTGTGTGTGTGTGTATATATTATACATATATGCGTTGCGTGTGTTTGGCCTTAAGTAATTATTTGTGCTCTTTCTTCATTTTACAGAGTTGCGGTTAAGAATATTCATATAGCTGACAAATGAGTAGTGAAGCCTCATTACTGCCGCCTGCTGTGGCCACCTCCCCCATTAGCGGTGCATCTGACTCAAATACCTTAACTGAGACCATCTCGAATACAGATTTTTACATTGGCGTCGGCTTAGCCATTTCATCATGTTTCTTTATTGGCTCCAGTTTTATTATTAAAAAGAAAGCACTCTTAAGGCTTAGCAGACATGGCGAAGTGCGCGCTGCAGCTGGAGGATTTGGCTATCTGCGTGAATGGATTTGGTGGGCGGGGCTGCTAACAAGTGAGTCATAAATGCAAAATTCTTATATCGCAATACTCATTTAATATACTTTCAGTGGGTCTTGGGGAAGCGGCCAATTTCGCTGCTTATGCCTTTGCGCCCGCCTCGCTAGTCACGCCTCTAGGAGCACTCAGTGTCATCATCTCTGCGGTTATGGCATCGCGTTTCCTTAACGAGAAGCTCAACTTGTTGGGCAAACTTGGTTGCTTCTTGTGCATATTGGGCTCTACGATTGTGGTCATCCACTCGCCGAAGGAGAAGGAAATCGAGGACCTACAAGTGCTATTCGAAATGCTACAGGATCCCGTTTTTATACTCTACATCATTTGTATATTTGGCTCATGTGCATTTATCGCCTGTTTCGTGGCTCCACAATATGGACACACAAACGTTTGTGTCTATCTATTCGTCTGCTCCGGCATCGGGTCCTTAACTGTGATGTCCTGCAAGGCACTAGGCTTGGCCATCAGGAGTACGATTGCCAATGGCTCAAATGTGTTCAGCACTTGGATGCCATGGTTCCTAATCGTCGTCACAGTAACCTTTATTGCCATCCAGATGAACTATTTGAACAAGGCACTCGATATATTCAATACGAGCATCGTGACTCCAGTTTATTATGTGATGTTCACCACCTTGGTGATTACGGCATCTGCCATACTACTCAAGGAGTTCAGCAAGATGCGTTTCGAGAATATCCTCGGCGATGTTTGTGGCTTTTTGGTGATCATCATCGCTGTGTTTATGCTAAATGCATTTAAGGATATTGATATTAATTTGTCTGATGTTCGTGGCCTGATGCGTCCCAAGATGCAACGCCTCTCGCAATATGATGAGGAAGTCCTTGTCAGTACTCATCTAAAGGAGCGTCGCTATTCGTATGGCTCCAGCGATGTCTTTCGCAAGGCCTGACATAAACAGCGCTATCAAGTTTAGTTATTCCCCATAGCAAAAGCTTGAACAAAAATTGAAATTACAATCCAAACAAAGAACACGAACTCCCATATCATTCGCATTTATCATTAAATGTTCCTTCACTCACATTTCATTAAGTCTTAGGTTTATAAGAATATTGTTTACAAGTGGAAAAGTGCGATCAGTTATTATTTCTTTTTAGGCATATTTAAAAACTTATTAAAATTGTATATACCCTTGCCAATATGTTTGTTTTAATACTTAATAAAACGAATCTTTTTTAACTTACTCATACTTTAATTTATTATCGCCAAAATCGTATAGATTTTACAAATTAGCAAAGCCAAAGCCACAATCAGTTTAAACTAAATTATTTTGCCGGGCTTTTAATTTCGAAGATCAGTGATAACAATAACAATCGAAAGCGCCTCCGTGTGAATGACAGCGATGCCAAACTAACAATTCGAAATTGTTTATTACAAATATATGATGAAAGGATATGATATCAAATTTTATTCATAGTTTTATTTCTTTAACTAAATCTTTAGAGCTTTTACTATAATTTACCCAACAAGAAAGTACATCTAGTAAGATTTGATTATATTTAAATCTCTTCACATCGAACAAATTTTTGTAGCTTTATAAGTCTACAGCTTATACAACCAAATCATGAAGTGTAAATAAAATTTTTGTTGTTAGTCCGATTTGAAATTTCGGCAATAGTCGGTAGCGATAACAAACTGCCGCGGCGCACTGTGAATGGCAGGGCTGTCAATTAAACAAATTATTTCCCCAACTATATATGTATATAATCGTGAAAATAATTTGAACATTGAGCAGCAACTGTGAACAGGCCGAAAAATGAGTGCCTTACGTTTTGGATTTACGCGCTACGTGATAAAATGTCCATTGGGTAATCAATGGAACAGCATCGTTAGGGCTGCAACAATGGCAGCTGTCAATGGGAATGTCATTAGAGGAGCCGCAACGAAAGCAACTTGCAAAACTTTTGTCATTTTACAACGAGCTTCGCCCGTGCTCATATCGTTGCGCAGTTTTTCATCCAAATCAGTCACCGGCATAATGGAGGAGAATTGTATTGTGCCCGATGTCATTTGCAAGGCACCCAAGTCCGTTCTTTCAATTGAATATGATGGCGGCATTTGCGTAAAACCCGGCGTCGTTTTGACCCCCACTCAAGTGAAGTGCGAGCCCAGTGTTAAATGGGAAGCTGATCCTTCCAAGTTGTACACTCTGTGCATGACCGATCCGGATGCACCGAGCCGTAAGGATCCGAAGTTCCGTGAATGGCATCACTGGCTGGTCGGCAACATTCCCGGCAACGACGTGTCCAAGGGTCAGGTGCTCTCGGCCTATATTGGTTCCGGCCCGCCACCAGACACCGGATTGCATCGATATGTATTTTTGGTCTACGAGCAACAGTGCAAGCTGGACTTCGACGAGAAGGCGTTGCCGAACAACAGCGCCGATGGACGCGGAGGCTTCAAGATTGCCAAGTTTGCTGAAAAATACAATTTGGGCGATCCTATTGCCGGAAATTTCTATCAGGCCGAGTATGATGACTATGTCCCCACTCTCTACAAGCAATTGGGTGCTTAGAGGCATTTGTACCCGAGGCATTTGTATGGATTACATAATGTGGGAAGGGAGTTCTTTATAAATTGTTTATTAGAAACTGATATTGTAATTGAATATTGGCAATAAAGATGCATTTAGCATAAAATTTTTTGAATTTTTCAATTTTATAAGCTCGGCCCCCTGGTGGCGTCAGCCCGGCACCAGACAGCGGATTACATAGATTTTCGAGCAAAATTCCGTTCTAGAGCTCGATGAGAAGACGTTGACGAACAAAAGCGGAAGACTTGAAGATTGCCGAATCTCTATCCTTTACAAGAATTGCCAATTGGGTGCTTAGAGAGTCATATGTATGTTAATATGTAACATTTGTATGGGTTACATAATTTGTGAAGTGAGTTCTTCATAAATCGTCAATGAGATGCTTATATTCAATTAAAAATTGACAATAAAAATAAATTTAGCATACATCTTCCTTGAGTTTTTCAATTTTACATAGATCACAAGTGCACAGCAATGCACCGTTAATAGTGATCATAAAATAGATACTGTATTTTATATCGATACTTCGCAAAGACTTAAGAAAAATTTATATTCCGATACTTGCAAATATCGGTTAATTACTATATTAAATAATAAAAATTTTGATGATCTATTTCACAATTCCGGTGAAGTGGACTTTGATAATTATGTGATCTTTTATGATCTATTTGTCTAGTAATTTCTGTGACGTGGGCTTTGATGAATATGTGCTTATGTAAACATCTATTTGTCTTTAATTATTTACACATATAACAGATGTACTATGATTAATTTTTCACCTGTATATATTATGTACTGTTGGGGTATGGTATTATTTTTTAATTTGAAATCGATTGTCAAATTGTGAAATTGAATTTAAGCTATAATTTTCTAATCTCAGCATTTGAAATGAGTTGCGGTTTCATTGGGTGCAGCTGTACTAGTGTTTTTGTTATTAGAGATGCCAAATATGAATACGATATTCGGAGTAAAGGTATTTGGAAAATATCGCTAATATTCATATATGCCAAAGCTTTAATCAAATCTATTTACTAACATTTTGGCGAAAATAACATCAGATTATAAAATACAGTACAGTATATTTTTCTACGATATTAAAAACAGCTACAAACAAATATAAGACCTTTCCTGATTAGTGGATTAAGCTATAAATATTTTGAAAATGATTTGGCTAAAGAAAATTCAAATGTTAAAAACTTAACGACTTTTTGGATATTCTCGATTTTCGGCTAGCTTTAAAGGATACGGATTATCGATACTTCTAATGTGATATCTATTTGTTAAGCTTATTAAAGCAATTAACAATTGAAACTATAATATATATGTAAAATACAAACTCTCAAAATTTCTTCAATCGTCTACAAAGTAAAATCCTTTACTATATAATGTATGCATTTATTTATTCATTCTCAATCTACAAATTTTCGCTTATGGGTGGACACATAAAAATCATTTATATGTATAATCAAATTTATATTAACTTGGGGTTCAAAATGCATACAGGTGTAGAATTTGCTTTAAGATGATGGTGCAGTGGACTCTAAAGTTGGATACTGCTGCTTGTGTTCCGGCCATTCTACCTCGCTGATAGCCTGGCAAAGGGAAATGGAAATGTTAATAGAATAGAATATTTTTGCAATGATATATTTATTTCATACCTTCAACTCGTCGAATGCCTGCTTGGCTATCCAATGGAATAACGGATTCTTCCAATCGCGCGCTATGGCTTGCAGCTCTTTGAGTCCAGTTTCCGTGGCCGGCGACGAAGTCTTTGAGATTTTCTTATATTGAGCCCACAAATAGATCATGCTGCGCATTTTGTAAGTCCAAAAATCATTTGGAACCGTTCGTATCATATTCTGAACCTTCTCGGTGTTGGGCATCTTAAGATTCTCCAAAAATGTGATATTCATCAGTGTAAATATGGACTTCATATTATTGAAATAATTGTCCGAATTCTTTTGCAATGCAAATTGCGCTTGATTAACGATAACGTCGACCACTTGTTCAGTGGTCAGACGTGGCAAATCAGGTATAAAGCAGTTGCGCAAATTGACGCTGCCAAAGGTGGCCAGCTCCTCCTTAATCGCCTCCTCGCACCACTTGTAATCCGTCCACCAGCTCTGCCACGACGTATATTTCTTGGACTCTTCCTTGATGGCCCACTCGTAGTGCAAGCGTTTGCGAATGCGTTTTACCAAGGTGCGTCCAGCATTTTTGCCTTCCTGCTCGTAATCCTGAATCTCAGCCATTGGCTCATCTTCCAGCTCTTCACCGCTTGTACTATAATTGGGCAACTGTTCGAAGAACATAATCGCATACGATTTATCCTCGGGTTGGGGCAACGCTACTTTCAGGTTGTTAACATAGGGCAGCTTGAAGCCGCCGATCAAAAATCCACGCTTAACTGCGAGCTTGCGACGCTTGATATCCGCCTTGGTCAGAGGCGCAGGAGCTGGCTCAGCCACACGCTTTTGAGCTCCGACTAAAAGGAGATATATACAAATTAGATATGCATTATATATAATTAATTAATATCGCATACCTTTGACAATCGCTTTCTCTGCTGGCTTTTGGGTTTCAATCTCCTTTTTGTTGTTGTTGTTGTTGATGCCTTTCGCTTGAGTATTTGGGGCAGCGTTGGGCGCATTCGGCGCATTCGGCTTGGGCGGCACATTAACGGGTTTAGGCTTGCCGCCATTGACAGTCACATTCCTATTAACAATTTGCTTTTGTCTTTGTGGCTGCGGCTGCGGCTGCGGCTGTGGCTGCGGCTGCTGTTTCTGTTGCTGTTGTTGTTGCTGCAGTTTCTGTTGCTGTGGTTGCTGCTGCTGTTTGGTTGGTTGTTGCTGCTGCTGTCTTGGCTGTTGTTGCTGCTGCGGTTTCTGTTGTTGTTGTTGCTGCTGCTGTGGATTAAACTGCTTGTTACGAGAAACATTGGGCAACTGTGGCTTGTTATTATAATTGATATTGTTGCTGTTAATTTGTCTGGGCGCACGTCCCTGTCCTTGTCCTTGTCCCTGATTGGGGAACGGTGGCCTATTGCCCATGGCAGCATGATTAGGCTTGGGACCCGGCGGTCCACCAATGTTCGCAGGTCCATTCCATTTATTGTTGCGATTGCCGCCGCCGCCAATCGGTTTACCCGGTCCAAAACCATAATTGTTGTTGCCCACTTGCCAGTTCGATTGGTTCTTCATCAAAGCATTGACCGTTTCCAACACTGACAAAGCGTTGCCAGTGGAACCAGAGTTGTTCGGACCGCGATAGTTGCCCGGCCCATTGCTCTGATTGTTGTTGTTGCTATTGTAAAATGGTTGTTGATTGCCGCTGTTGCTGCTATTGCTGTTGTTGTTTTTGTTGTTGTCAAAGTTTAAGCCATAATCGTTGGGCGGCTGTGGCCCACGAAAGTCGCTATTAAAGTTGCGATCATTAAAATTGTCAAAGTTTCCAGTATTATTGGGACGGCCATATGGCGCTGCCGGGCGATCATTGTTGAACTTGAAATTGGAGCCGGTGCGACTCATATGATTCGACTCTTGGCCAATGCCACAGCCACCGCCACCGCCACCACCCCCGCTGATGCCACTGAAGTTATCGGAACGTCTGAATGTGTCCAAGTTGCGATCATTATTGTAAAAACGTGATGGAGCGTTGTCCGATTTGTTGTTAATATTGTTGTTACTGTGAATGTTGCTGTAATTAAGATCGCTAATGGAACGAGTAAGGCCCAAATTGCTTGGCAGCTGTTGTTGTTGATGCTGAGGCCCACGATAATTATCAGAGCCAGACATGGAAACAGAGTTTGATCTTGGCTCAAAAGAGCGGCTAAGAAAATTTGAATGCGACTGCGACTGCGACTGCAGCGGCTTTTGTGGTCGAAAGTTATCGTCAAAGCTGCTTTTGATTGGCGCAACACTGCCATGGCTATTGCTGTTGTTAAAACGTTGATTGTTATTAGAATAATTTGAGTAGCCGACGCTGCCACTGCTGCCGCCATCGTTAGAACGTCCAAAAGTGTTTGATTGCATGTTGCTAAATTTGTTGTTATCGTTATCGAGATATCGCTGATTGTTGCCAAATTTAATGCTATCAATTTCAGAAAATCTTTGATTGTTAAAACCAATTCCGCTATTGCCATTGTTAAAACTATCCGTGCGACCATAGTTCATTGGCCGACGAAAATTGTCGTCGACTGCACTACCACCACCGTTGCCACTGATGTTACCGCTGCCACCGCCGCCGCCGGCTCCGCTGACACCACCACCGCCGCGAATTGGCGCAAAAGACGATGCATCATTGGGCTGACGACGCTGGCCTATGCCGTAGGCGCTGTATCTATAGTCCATAGCTAATTGTTCACAAATTCGTTTATTTGTTGACAATTACGCGTCGAACACGTATAATGTAAACGGCAATTTTTTTTCCGTATCTTTTTAACTAATTTCTTTTTGCTTGATGCCGTTCGAACTTGTAATATTTTCACATTTGACAGACACGCACACGCACAGGCACATACATCGACAAACGCACAAGCTCACATATACAAAGCAGTGTTGTCAAACGTCGCAATGAGCTTCATCAAACATGAACTGATTGAAAAACTACTCGTGACAGTTCACTGTTCTGGTTCAATACGAAAATTAATAAGGTAATTGTTCTGAGAATTTTATTATTTATTATTTATTTTTTAATTCATATACTCTCATATGTACAGGATAAAAAAATTCCTATGAATTTCGAACTTTTATAGTTTGTTCATTTGGAGTCGTTGTTTTTAGAACTAGTTCGGATTTACTGTTTCGTACTTTTGATGGGACTCGGAACTAAAATCATGTTTGTAACAGACACAACCAGGGCTGATTAATGTCAGTTGCAGGTAAAATATGTCAAACATATTTACAATGTCAGGTAAAATACGTCTACCTTTACATTCACATAGCCTCGCTATCCAAAATGATTGGAATCTTGCCATGAATGATTTATTGCATTTGTGAGAGTACTAAGTTGTATTTCTTAACAATTTATTCTGCGCTCCAAATGTCACACAGGTAATTATTTTTGTATTTTAGAGTAAAACTTTAATGATGTACTATTGCTGCGTACGGAAGAGCGCTACCGAAAAGCGAATTGCTCATCCTACTGAAAGAATGCGTTTTGGCAAAATAAACATTAAGTTTAAAATTTCACTTGCATTGCTTTATTTTTATTATTTTTTACATTTCACGTTGAAGTAAATTATTTATTAGTAGCTAAGTGCATTGAATGCCATTTCGTTGTGTAATGATTGGAATACGAATTTGAAGCATCTGTAAAATTATAAAGAAATATTAGTATTTTAAAAAATTATTTTAATAAATTATAATACTGACCTTGCTTGTTTTATCAAAAAGCGCCTGCGCACGCTCCTGATTGAGGCGATATTTGACAAATGTATCAAATATATAGCCATGTTTCAAAGACTCAACCAAAATGCGATCTTCGCCTACATCCAAGCTGAACTCTTGGGATGAAACCTGATTAAAGCAAGATGAAATAAAAGATTATTTTAAACGAATATATGATTATATCAGATAATCATCAAACATGTGGAGACTCGTATATGAAATTATGTACTCACGCAATTGGGCAAATAGAGCTCAGCATGAATTTCGTCGACCTTCTCATCGCGGATTCGGGCGCGTAGCTTGTAAAGCGGCTGGTGATTTTTGGCCCAGTTGTTACGAATTGTTGCAGCATGCTGCTCATCAATTTCCTGCACTAGTTTCGAAGGTTTTGTGGATGTAGATGTGGATGGCTCCTCTATTTGTTTATTGCCAGGAATTGCGATGCCAACTGCGTCAGGTGTACCACCTGCTCCGCTTGCTCTTTGCATATCCTCGTTTCTCACACGATGTGCCACCAATGTGCCGATAAATTTGCGATTGCTCAATATTATTGTCTTATCCATCGTTATTTGTACATTGTATTTTTCGCTGAGTGCTTCGGCAACGATTTGCAAAAAGAAATTGTTGAAGAGTTGCGACTTTTTTATTTTCGTCAAAAACTTTGGATTTATTGCTATGTCGCACACTTCTACGGAGTTATTAGAACGATCTTTGGTATGACGTATCTCCGAAATGCTCATCGGTACGCGAAACGATCCGGGCGTCGTTGATTCCAATATACTTATTAGCTCGCCATCGGATATATCTTTGGGTCCTGGCACTTCCGGTGCTTGGCATACGTTTATGAAAAATTTTTCATTACTGTTGATCTTAAAGCTCTTGACACAGAAACCTGATCAAATGGCGTAAGCAGAAAATTGTAATATAATAATAATTGGCTTGATCAAAAATTTATTTGATAATAAAATTTATTAAATTCAAAACTGAAATAGATAAATATCTTTTCTATCTGATTTTTTTGTACTTATTATTGCATATATCAAAACATTAATACATATAATTTTCGCTTATAATAACCGTTTCACCTACGATTAGTATTTTGTAAATATAAATCATTTCGCTCGCGATAACAGTTCTCTCGATGTCGATAACTATCGTTACCTTTCCAATACTGTTTCGTGCGTTCGTTAAAAACTCTTTGAGCTCACTGAAAGAGCTTTTAAAAAGATGCATGTCTAATTTTAGGCGAACGCCGGCTTTTGGGATAGAAAAATCGGAGAGACGTTGAGAGAGACGAAAATAATTCAAAACATTAATTAAAGCTCGTCTGTAAAGAGAACAAATGCATACATAGGTATGTGTCTGTGTGTTTGTTTTTGTTTAAAGTTAAGCATATGTTTATAGGTGTTATGTCTCTGTAAACAATTGTATACTATATCCCTGTCACATAAAACATAATTTTTATCTTTTTAGATATGATTCAATCGACACTGTTATTCCCCCTAACTATTATTCATATATATAGTCTATACATGACGTACGCACACACACTTACATATGCATGTATGTGACTATATGGTCGGCAAACGTTTGCTCGCGTATTTCATCATTAACTCTTTCTATCTTACTCTTATCAATTAACTCTCTTGGAGGCCTTCCACACTATCTTGTCGCGCGCGTTAAATTGCTAATGGGCAATGACTAGCCAAATGCAAAAATTGCTATACATGTGTGTATGTGAGTCTGTGTGTGGGTGCCTGCTCTTGATGTAGAATTGTCGCAGGCTCAGCTAGCAAGGGTGACCAGCTGGGCTGTATGGGCTTATTTATACCGGCATAGCTTGTCGCGCCGATCAAACAGAGAGCGAGCGAGAGAGAGCATTTGTGGGTGTGTGAGAGCTTGCACATTTTGTCTTCTATTAAGTTTGCCTTCTGCTGCATTAGTATTGGTCAGAGAGCGAACCGGCCGCTATCGTATCAAATAGAAACAAATAAGTTGAGCTGGCTTGTGCGTTTGCCATTCAGTTGCTTCTGTTCGCTCGACACGGACCGGTCGAAAGGAATACCCGAAAATAGAAATAACGAAAAAAGTTATCAAACAGTATTTACGTCTGATTAAATTTGCCGAGGTAATTATAAGTGGCTTTTTATTGTGGTGTTGTGATGTTGTGTTTGTTGTGATTGTTGCTGTTGTAGTTGTATTGTTATTCGGTTGGCTGCAAGCGTAACAAGTGCGATGAAAAGTTATTTGACACACATTGTGAAATACTCTCTACGCGTATTCTAGAAGGGCTTTATTAGTGTTGTAAATAAGTCTTCTAACAATTTTGAATGAATCATTTTAAAAATTAGATTTGATAATAAATAAATTGTTTTTGTTCGGTCATGCTCAATGCCGATTTATAATTGATTAAATCGAACAAAAAAAGAAAATCAATTAAATGAATTATATGCATAAAATGTATACGCACGTGTGCTTGTGTGTGTGTGTGTGTGCCAGTGTGCGTTATGCTGTGATCAGCTAAAACAGTTAGCACAGTTTTTAGGCAAGTCTTTAGACGATGACGTCAGTGAAGTCCAACTGAAGCTCGAGTGTGCTGCCGAAAAAAGGGCCTCGAGCACAGAGACAGAGTGAGAGCGTGGATGAGAGACACATGTACGCACACACTCAACCAAGCTGTTATAAACAAGCGCGATAAGCATTTGGAACAATAAAATTATAAAGTGCAATTGAAAACTAAAGCAACAGTAAATAGAAACAATACACGCGAACGTCTACGCATATATGTATGTATGTGTATAACAGTAGTTTTATTGTTGCACACATATATGCATATGTACATCTATGACAATTATGTATGTATGTGTTTATTGGGCAAGTGCGGGTACTTGGATTTGCGATTGATAACAACGCGTTGCCGCTCACGTTTCAGAACTTCACCACTTGAAAGATAATGAGATAATTGAAATTTGCGCAATCCTGTAAAAGGACACTATGAACGAAAACAAAGAATTTCACAGTCCAGATAACAATAAACAAGTGGGCTGCGATATCATTCAAAAGACAATTATAAACATTAAAAAGGAAACTTGTGCAAACGACTGTAAAATACCCTGTATAAATGAAATCTGCGTTTGCTTAATGAATGTCAAGTGAAAAATGTTAACCAAATGTGTGTAAACAGTTCAACGACAGTTGGGCTACATAGCAATCAATCTTACAACAATATATGTATACTGTCTGCCATATAACAGTTTAAGGTCTATATAAAACAGACGAAAACAATGCACTCATTATGGAATTTTGTGTACAGGGTATATGAGTTATTTATTGCATATATGTATGTATGTATCATATATCTTTTCAATGTTCTTTTCAATGGAACCTACATATTGAATATGCAAAGTCTACTGAACTTTGATTTCTTTTACTTTATTTTTATCTTTTATTTTATTTTGCGGTTTGCCCTTTTCTGTAGAATATACAGCATCAGAATGAGTCGACAAATTTGTACATACATATGTACATATGTATGTGTATATTAATTGAAAATATGTGTAGCAAAATATCTCTGCATTTTTTCTAAACGCAATTTTTGTATTATAAATACATATTTCGTTTTGAGATATTTGATAATGTTACATAACACTGAATGATCGCCGGAACAGGTTTGCCATTAATTACAGAAGAGAAAAAAATACCCGTTTTTTTCTGTTTGATTATTTACTTTAGCCTTGGGTAGAGTATAATTAATTTTGTCAGTCGGTTTGCAACGAAGCTTATCTTTAATTCACAATGAATGCATTCACAGTTCCATGCTTATATGCTACATGTTTGATTGATTTGCAAATTGTTGTTTGCTGTTACAAATAGAGCGTTGTTTTTTGTTTCAATTAGTATATAAAGCTCAGAGATTCAGATATATAAAAATAAAACTAAATAATCTTGTTTAAAATGTTAAAGAGCTTATACAAAAATTAACATAAAAATATATTAAAGCTGTTATATATGCTTTTATTGAAGCTCTAAAATTTCCCTGTGCTATTTCCTGTGCTAATTTTTAGAACATGCAAATTTCCCAACTGAATTTTAAAGAGAAATTCAGAGCACGTTTCTTAGAGCATTTAATCGACGTTGTTAAGCAAAAAGCTAAAAAGTAGTTTCTTGATTTAACAAAAGTCTTATACTAAAACAGACAAACAAACTTGTTTCTGGCATCAAGCATAGATCAATAAAATAAAATATATACAGGTGGACGTACATACATATATTGTGGCATTGACAAAGATCAAGAGTAGGGAGAGGCAGAACTGGTTTCATAAATGTGTTAGAAATATAATATGTATACATAAATGTAGAAGAAATACAAAGTATTATTTGCTAGGAATTTCTAGCGACAAGGTGGTCAAGCCTAATAAGATTATATGTGAACACTTCGTAGCGAATTAACGAAGGGGGCAATCTATTTTTCACCGATTTATGAATTGCTTGTGACGCTCAAGGCACTTACTGATAAGCGCCAAACATCTGATTCAATCATTAGCAACAAGTCAATTGCATTCAATTTCAATTGTCATGCGCGTGGGACAACAATTTAATGTTATTTTAAGAACAAAAAAAAAAAAAAGCACTAACCGGGCGTAGGTTGTACGACAATCCAGTCGCGTGGCGGCGCTGCCTTGCCGGCCTGATCTGTAGCTGTAGCTCCACCACTAAAGAACTGATTTATGTTCTCTTCAAACTCATTCTAAAAGAAAATAGTAGTAGTATTTATTCACTTTTATATTCTTCTTGTAGTTTAATTCCGCTTACCTTCACGAAGCGCAAATTCTGATCGCGAAAGCTGTCGTTGCCATCGATAAAGTTATTAAGGCTGGACATGATGATGCATTTGTTTTATATACGAATTTCACTTTATTTAACAATACTGAATACTATTTGAATATTATTTTCGACTATTTTAATTCTGTGACAAGCAGTTTCTGATTTTGTGTTATTATTATTGCAAGTTGCTGTCAGGTTGCTAAGCGATAGGCTCGATAACAAAATTAGTGCTGTGAAGTGCTGTCAGGCTGTCTATCGATGGGCGAGTTGTGTTGCGGCACCGGTTGCATATATACCAAAATCCGCTAAAAATAAAATAGCTGGCACGAAAATACTTGATCAAATGTGTGACAAATATGCTTTAATTTTCAAAATTAATTTTGATGTGCGAATGGCAGACATTTAATCAGCTTTAAATTTCAATCATTTCATCGACTTTATTTTAATATACACAATATTACACAAACAATTAGTATACATATATGTACATATTTTAGACAATTTAAAATTTTCAAATATGCCAGCTCTAACTTATAAATAGATAAATAGGCAACATTCCGCTAAATTAATCGTTATCGTTTCTTTTTATTATTGTTTTCGTCTTGGGAAATAGACCAGCTGTTTTTACAGTAGTACAATCTTTTCTTTACTTTCATGTTTCATGTTTTACAGTTGCGTTAAGCTGAAAGTCTCGCACGTGGAGGAGTGCCTAGAGAAAAAGTTAAAAGACAAAACGCGACCATGGGAGACATTACACCCATGGACGAGTTTTGCGGCTCCACATTTTGGGTGAGTGCCAGAAAAGTACCTATATATATCTAAAAAATTTGTTGTATAATTTCCTTTATTTTCTAACAGGACGCCAATGCGACTTGGTGGACAGTTGATCCAGATTTTACGATCTGTTTCGAACAAACTGTCTTAGTGTGGGCTCCTTGTGCATTTTTTTGGGCATTTGTTCTCATCGATTTTTGGTATTTGAAAGCCAGTTTGGATAGGAATATACCCTGGAATAAATTGAACATTGGCAAAGTGTTGTTCAATGTGGGCTTGATTGTAATCACCGCTTTGGATTTAATTATGGTGTTTGTCAAGAAAGGCGAAGCGGATATACCGATATATCCTGTTGATATTTGGACTCCTGTTATTAAATTGGCAACCTTTGTAAGAAATATGAGCTATTGCTGGGTTAGATTTCACTATAATTAGAGTTTGCTTCTTGTTTGTAGATAATGCTATTGATTTTTATACCCCTCAATCGGAAATATGGCGTGCAAACATCTGGTTGCCAATTTCTCTTCTGGCTTTTCTTGGTGATCTTCTCCATACCACGCTGTCGCACCGAGGCTAGAATGCATCAGGAGCGCAGTGATATAATCAACTCACAGAAAGCGACGCCACATGATTTCTCCTGGGAAACGTACCAATTTTGCAGCTTCTTCATCTTCTTTACATTGTCTGTGCTGATGCTAATACTCAATTGCTTCGCCGATCGATTGCCCAGGCAAACGAAATATAAGCGAGGACCTAAAGAGATTCCCGAACTGTCGGCCAGCTTCCTTTCTCGCATCACATACAGCTGGTTCGACAAGATGGCCTTGAAGGGCTATCGCAATCCGTTGGAGGAGAAGGATCTATGGGATTTACGGCCACAGGATAGCTGTAAGGAGGTGATGCCCACCTTTGCCTATTACTGGAATAAGAATGTGCGCAAGAACTATCGTCGCATGGCTAATGCACAGGAGACGAAGGCACAATTCAGCAATGGCAAAGTCTCCTTTGAGAATCCCCAGAAGAATGGCAAGAAGAAGGGCATGGCTAGCATTATGCCGCCCATATACAAATCCTTTGGTGGAATTTTTCTCTTTGGCTCCTTCTTCAAGTTGATCACCGACATTCTAACCTTCGCCCAGCCGCAAGTGCTGAGCTTGATCATTGGATATGTGGAGGACTATCAGACGAATCCACAACCTGAATGGAAGGGCATTATGTATTCGATTCTACTTTTTGTGCTAGCCAGTGCACAGACATTCATACTCGCTCAATATTTCCATCGCATGTTTATTGTGGGTCTGCGCATTCGCACGGCGTTAATCAATTGCATTTATCGGAAGGCTTTGCGTATTTCGAATGCGGCACGTAAATCCTCAACGGTTGGAGAAATTGTGAATCTAATGGCTGTGGATGCACAGCGCTTCATGGATTTGACAACCTATTTGAATATGTTGTGGTCGGCTCCATTGCAAATCGCTTTGGCTCTATATTTCTTATGGCAGCAATTAGGTCCATCTGTGCTAGCCGGTCTCGCCGTGATGATCATTATGATACCTCTCAATGGATTCATAGCAAGTCGCATTAAGACCTATCAAATAAGGCAAATGAAGTATAAGGATGAACGTGTTAAGCTAATGAATGAAGTCTTGAGTGGCATAAAGGTTAGTGGAGCTCACATAAGATTGAATTATTAGAGGTTGCGTAATACTCACAATCTGTATACTTATAGGTGCTCAAGCTTTACGCCTGGGAGCCCAGCTTTGAGAAACAGGTACTGGACATACGTGATAAGGAAATAGCTACACTACGCGCTACGGCTTATCTGAATGCCAGCACATCCTTCCTTTGGTCCTGCGCTCCCTTCTTGGTAAGCTATGGCAAACGATAGGCCACACTTTGAATTCTCTTTGCAGAACTTGACTTGACGGAGTTTAACCGAGGAAAATGTATATCTATCATTTAAAATGTTTGAAAAAAAAAAAAACAAAAAACAAAAATCAAACAAACACAATAAGGTATCCTTGGTGACATTCGCCACTTACGTATTGTCCGACGAGGCGAATCAGCTGAGCGTCTCAAAAGCCCTTGTCAGCATTTCACTGTTCGAAATCATGAGGCTGCCATTGGCCGTAATGCCCATGCTGATGGTAGACATAGTCGAGGTAAAGCCCAAGGATCAACTGGAAATTGGATATCTATTAATAACAATATGTATAATTCGAGAACCATTTACTTCGGCTATGGGCATCTATCAGCACCACAAGACTGGGCTCACAAAATACAACCGAAATCTATAATCCAAATATCGTATTACTATAAAATTACTGTATATTCTAGGTATCATTAGTCACATTTGCCACATACGTTCTAATCGATGAGAATAATGTGCTCGATGCGAAAAAAACCTTTGTCTCATTATCATTATTCAACATCCTTCGTTTTCCGCTAACCATGTTGCCCATGCTGATCACCAACTTGGTGCAAGTAAGTTAACCTTATTGCGAATCGACTGTTTTTCCCCATGTACACCTTGATATTACATGTGATTTGACTGATATATATTCATACGATGATAGTCTGAAAAAAATCTGAAAATAATACAAAATTAAAGCATATACATATACATATGTATATTCTTAAGTCAGAAACTACTCAGTCCATTATCGTATAGATATATATACGTTTTATTTACATATATATCTAGATGTAATCGGGAAAATATATTGGTACAATTTATGTTTTTAAATTGTGCTGTATTGTGATTGTCAATCTTTTATCAACTATATTATTTACTATTATAATTATTATTTTTTATTTAGCTGCAGCAGACACTATTTAATCCTAACTAACTAACCTAACCTCTCTCGAAAACTAACATTGAAATCGAATTCATTTATCTTTGAATTTAGAAATGCTTCAATTAAACGAAGATGTGTATTTCGTTCTATAACTCTTATAGCTAGATGTTCGCTCTTTCATGAAAGATTCCCCTCGTTCAAAGAATAAAGAACTTAATCAGAAACTAAAATTCATAAAAATATATCGAAGGTGTCTAGTCGGCTTTCATAATTTATATTTATTGTTAGCGGTCTTTTAAAGGGTTCATTAGATATTATCATTCAAGTGTCCTTTACTATAAAAAAATTGTTGACATTTTTAGTGGGGCAATTCATATGTAATTCTATTCTATTTCTTTTTCTACAGCATATTCATGTAGCTTAAAATTCTATTTACCCTTGCAGAGGGTATTTTTTGAGAGAGAAAACAGTTTTTGCTTAATTTATTTTTTCAAAACAATCTTAATTTTTTGTCCGACCTTTTCAAAATCTAATGTAGATGTTCATATTTGGGGAGTAGAATTTCTTCTTTGGGTCTTTAATAAAGCAATCCCTTTAAAACTATATATCATCCATAAAATACCCCTAGCTCTGCAAGGGTACCAAAATTCCGGCAACCCGAGTTTATAAGTCTACTTTCGTAGACGAGAGCTTCTCCCAAAACCTTTCCGTGCACCCCATCCACGAACTTACTACTAATAATAGCTGTGTGTTGACCAGTGTTGTTTAAGGATAAAATAATCTCTAACCGATTTCCTCTTTGCTTAGACGCAAGTTTCTGTACAACGTATAAACAAATTCCTGAACAGTGAAGAGCTAGACCCAGACAACGTACAACATGATCCCTCAAAGCGTGAGTACATAGATCTATATTTATTTATGTACCTTTATACAATTATTTTAATATTACTTTTCTTTTGTAGCCCATCCCATGAGCATTGAGAACGGGCACTTCTCCTGGGGCGACGAGGATGAGTTGACGCTCAAGAATATCAATATGGAGGTGCGTAAACACAATCTAGTGGCCATAGTTGGCACTGTTGGTTCCGGTAAGTCCTCGGTCATCCAAGCGTTCCTCGGCGAAATGGAAAAGATCTCGGGCACGGTCAACACGGTGGGCAAAATGGCTTATGTGCCACAGCAGGCATGGATCCAGAATGCTACCGTACGTGATAATATATTGTTTGGCAAAACGTACGATCGCAAACGCTATAATCAAGTGATCGACGCATGCGCTCTGCGTACGGATATTGAGATCCTCTCTGCTGGCGATCGCACCGAGATTGGTGAGAAGGGCATCAATCTGTCTGGTGGCCAAAAGCAACGCATCTCCTTGGCACGCGCTGTGTACAGTAATGCGGATATATATCTACTGGATGATCCGCTGAGCGCTGTGGACTCGCACGTAGGCAAACACATCTTTGAAGAGGTGCTGGGACCGAAGGGCATGTTGGCGAAAAAGACCCGCGTCCTTGTCACCCATGGCATTACGTTCCTGCCACAGGCCGATAATATCTATGTGATGAAAATGGGCGAGATTACTGAGAGTGGCACATACAGTGAATTGCTGAGAAATCGTGGCGCCTTTGCTGACTTCCTAATGCAGCATCTGCAAGAGGGCGAGGCGGAAGCGGAGGAAATTGATCAGATCAAACGACAGCTATCGCAAACGGATCCTTCTTTGATTGCCCCATTCGAAAAGGCCATACTGCTCGCTCGCACCGAAAGCCTCTCAGACTCTATGTAAGTTGGACGTGTTTATCTGCAGATCCTCATTATATATTTATTCATTTTGCTCTTTAGCTCCGTCACATCTGCCGACAGCTTGATGGGCGGCAGCTTGCGTCGTCGTAACAAGCGCCAGGACTCATACGATTCAACTGCCTCCGCTGCCTCGTTGAAAAAGCAACAAGAACTCGAAGGCAAACTGATTGAGACGGAGAAATCGCAAACGGGCGGCGTTGATTTCAGTGTCTATAAGCATTATATCAAGAGTGTTGGCATCTTTTTATCGGTCGCCACTTTGGTGCTCAACTTTGTGTTCCAAGCATTCCAAATCGGTTCGAATTTGTGGCTCACCCAGTGGTCCAACGATAAGGAAGTGGAACATAATACGGATAAAAGGAATATGTACTTGGGTGTCTATGGTGCCTTCGGTTTCGGTCAAGGTGAGTTCACTGTGATTCAGTTTTTTCGTGCTGGCATTTATGTTATCGCTATCGTTATCGTCTCATTTCCGTTA